AAAATTTAAACATTTACCAGATTGTTTGATCCCATACTCTCCATCATAAAACCCGGGCCCCATTGGACCCCAAGGCTGGCTGGGAACAGCACACACCACAAACGCTTTGCTTGGGGAGAAGAAGGGTCTGGGCCCCTGGCCCTGGGGAAGGAGTATCCGGTGCCTTTGCCCACTGGGCCCTCAGGAAGTTGGTGACAAAGCTGGGGGAAAATCCTGTCTCCCGCCTCCTGGCGCTGGCCATGTCAGCACAGCCATCTGGCAGGGTCACCTGGCCGAGGAATTAAGCAGGAACACAATCTGAACAACTTCCCGCGCCGTCCTCTGCCCTGCTGCGTCCAGGACCCAGGACGGGCCAAGAGCACTTTCCTTTACAGAGGCGCCAGGAAAGGGGTGGCTCCCTCTACCCTGTGGATAGTTCCAGACCTCTCCCAGAGTCCTGAGGCCAAAGCCAGCTGTCCCCATGTGCAAAGCCTCCCTGCGGTGGGAGAAGCACTGCCAGCTGACGGTTCCTTGAGGGGCTCCTGTGCCCCACTCCAGATGGCAGCAAGGAGGGCCTGACTCGGGCCACACCTGAGGGAGAGGCAGGGCCAGGCCAGACCGTGGGCTCAACACCCCAGCAAACAGCCCTCCCACCAGCACAGGACAGGTTCATCCGTGGATCTCAACCAAGGCGGGCCATCGCCTTGAGGGTCACGTCCGGTCAAGCCAGCTGACAAGCCACTGAAGCGCCCAGGCTGTGGCCTCCGCTTCTGTGGCCTCCCCCACGTGTGAAAAATGTCCTTTTTCCAAAGGATGCCTCTCAAGTACACAGCACTCACTTATGGGGTTAAAGTGCTGTGCAGCCCAGTGGTTAGGAGCATGGGGTCCCATGTCCCGGGCCTCTATTTACTACCCATGTGGTCCTGGGCAAGGTACTTAACTGCTAGGGGCCTTGGTTTATAAGCCTGTAAAGTGGAAATAATAACAGCTCCTACTTCATTGTGGTGTTGAGAGGATTAACTTAGTGGCCCAAAGTCAGACAGTTTAATTATAATAATTTCCTAAAGTAGAACGTGTTTTCATTCCATATAAAGCAGAGAGGGTGCGGAAGTTGAGCAAGCTGTCTCCAGTGACTTAGAGGGTTGGGACCAGGCCCTAACCCCCTTCAAGTGCCAGCCCCACCGTGTGCGACCCTCCTGATAACATGCAGGCACCTGGCTTCCTGCTGACCCAGCCTCTAGTGAGGATCAGCTGGGGGTTAAAAGAGGAGGACCTACAGAAAGAGCACTGGCTCCCAGAGCCCAGCCCCTCGTCCTTGCCTGCTACCATCTGGATGCCTTGGGACAGATGACTTAGCCTCCATGCCACACCCTCTCATCTCCATGCTCCCTTCCAGGCTGAAGGGTCTCTGATCCCAGGAAAGGTGACTTAATGGGTGTCCCCCTGTTTTGTTATGGGGCCACATTTGAGATCATTGCAAGGAAGCATACGGAGCCTGCAGAAGCTATTGTTAATGAAATCGTTATAATTCACTGTTTTGCAAGAGGAACATCTTTTGTTGTATGAAATATACCAGCAAAATAATTGTGCACCTATTAGAACTGTTTTCGTAAAACTTTACCTGCAAAGCTGCCCCACCCCCACCACTGCACCCATTGCTCAAGAGTCCGGCCTTCAAAGGGATGGGGGGGAGGGGTGCAGGCTGCTGGAGCCCTCCCTAAGCCTGAGGATGGGGCCACACTCCTGCAAACTCTCTGGAAGCCCCACTTTCTCTCGCCTTCTGGGCCTTTACCTGTGCCCTTCCTCCTGCTGGGAATACCTTCCCCTCTCTCCTCCCAGCCCTACCCACAAACCTAGCCAACTCCTTCTGCTCCTTCACAGCCCAGTTTGCAGACTGCTTCTTCCAGGAAGGCTTCCCTGAGTTTCTGCCAGTTGGGGTTGGTTTGTAATTGTTCGTTTTTTTCTGGATTTCCCAGGGGATGAGCCCCATGGGGGGGGGGGTCTCTCTTCTTCCCTGCTATATCCCCAAGACCTAGAGCAGTGTGTGGCACACAGCTGACCGTCAGTGCATATTTAGTGACAGAATGCCTAAGGAGGCCAGCTGAGGCCACTGTGCATGACCTTTACAAATATGGCTTTGGCGTTCCATAGCCGCTGGCTCGGTGGCCCTGTTGGGCCTCTTTCCCAGCTCCTGGGGAAATTCAGTATTAGAACTCTCAGAGCCATCTTGGGGGAAAGGACACTGTCCTATCTCAGGAAAGGGGACAACACAAATAACATAATAATAATACAGCCACCACGACAGGCACCATCCTATGTTGTCTCTCAACCCTCAGGGCAACCTAAGAAGTAGGTTTGCTACACCCATGTTACAAGTTAGAAAGCCACCAAACCATCCATGGGCTTTTTCTGAGGGATGACAGGCAGTTGTTTTCAGCCCCACAAACACTTGCGGCGCCTGCTAGGACCCAAAGATTATGAGCCCTGCTCTCCTCCCACCCCACACACACCACAGTCCTGTGGGGGCAGCAAACGCAGCCTTGATTTGGGGGAAGTGCTCGGGTAGTGCCAGGAGGGAGGCATGACCCGGAGCTGTGGGACCCACAGAAAATGCCCCTGGCACTGCCCCTCGAGGCACCCCAAGTCTCATCTTCATGCATTTGGTGCTCCAGCAGCCCCCCCGGCCTGTCTGGTCCGGGCCACCCGACTGGGAAACTTCCAGGAGCAGCAGGGGCGCAGGCCACATGTTTGCAAGCCAAGTCCTCTCTCCCTTTGTTCTCCCTCCTAGGACTTTCTCTATAATCAGTTGGAGCCAGAGGCCAAGAACGTCTTGGAGAAAACACAGCCCCCTCCTCCTCCTCTCCACTCCCTCCCACCCGGGGCCCCCAGTAAATCCCAACAGGACAGATCTGTGCCTCGGTGCTGCCCCTTTGGCATGGCACTTTGGTGGCCAAGTCCCCCAATGAGCTTCAGCAAATTAGCTAATGGGCTCACCACTGAATGGTCTTTTCCGTGATGGCTTTTAAATTGCTCTCCAGAGAGTGGTGATGACAGTGTCACCACTGGCTTTATAGGGCTTCAGGGAACCTTACAGGCTCTGAGCTTGCAGCCGCAGAAAGGAACCAGGCAGTCTTCTAACTCCCTCTCCCCAAACCATGCCAGACTTTTCAGACTCAGCAGAGGGACGTCCCCACAAGAAACAAAGGCCACAGGAAAACCCAGGTGTTCTCATCAGAAAGTGTGCAATGAACTTAGGACACTTCAAGTTAGGACCTTCTCTGAGGGCCTAGGATGCAACCTAACAAGCGCCGGGTATGCCCTCCAAGCTGGGCACTGCCAGGCGGCAGGGGGCCCTTCCCACACAGTGGGCAAAACAGAACAGCAATGGAATATCTGCAGACTCGGGCTCAGGAGAGGTCAGCTGTGCCTCCTCTCTGGGCCTGCTTCCTCATCTGTGAAACACAGGGGATCTCTGGGGCCGCTTCCATTTCCAACGGGAGTCTTATGTGGCCCCAATCCGAGCCCCCTTCTGGGCTTTCACTCCAGCAAGCGGTCACCAGAATGCCCTTCCTCTCCTGCCTGCTGGACCAGCTCCTGCCCAAACACCATCTCCTCCAAAAAACCTCCTGTGAGCCTTGGGGGACGGGATGGCTGAGCCCTGTCCCTCCCTGCACCATCTCCCCCATGTGATGGCCCCCAAGACATGCCCAGAATGGAGCTGGTGCTCAGAACAGCCAAAGAGCCACAAAGGTCTGCTGCAGCCAGCAAGCGAGCCAAGAAACCTCTGCAGAGCCCCCAGCCCCGTCCCTCAGTCTTTCCTTGAATCCCCTGACTGGTATTAGCTGGGACACGCGACCTTTTGACCAAGGATGAGGGTGGTTTCCTGAGAGTTAAAAGAAGCTCAACTAAGCTAGAGATAACGAATCTGGGATTCCAAGGGTGGTCAAATGAGCTTCTGGCCACGTTGGAGGGTGGTCACCAGAGAGTTAAAAGAAATTCAGCTAAATCAGAAATCAAGAATCTGGGACTGAGGGTGGGTGGGCAGTTGTCTGGGCCTGGCTCCAGGAGGAACAAAGCCGCCAGGAAGGCGGGCCTGGCTAATGATTGATAAGCCAAGGTTCGGCAGAGAGGTCAGAGGTCATGGCTCTGATCTACAGGGCCTCCCGGTCACCCCCCCAGGAGCTAGGCCTTGAGGATTAAGGAAGAAGGGCATGGCTGGATGCTGGCCATTGCTGTCAGCCCTGGAGGTGGAGGTGGGGCAGCGGGAGGCCTCTGGGCCATGGGTCTGCTGGTGAAGACTCCATCCCCCTTGCCTCTGGGTGGATTTGGAAGTGGCCTGAGCCCCAGCTGAGTATGGAGCCTGGCAGAAGCTCTGTCTCATGGCCTCTGTGTCCCTGGAGAGCAGGCAGGGGTTTCCCTCCCACACAGATAGCACCCTGAACACGTCCACATGGTTCCCTTCCTTTCTGACTTCTTCAGGTCCACTCCCTATCCCACGACTGGTTTTGTCTCCTGGGCAAATGACTTTCCCACCTCCCATCAGCTTTTCTCATCCGCAAGCTGGGTCCTCAGCCCTTACCTAGGAGTGAAGGTGGGCGCAGCGAGAAAAGATACGCCCAGGGCACTCCCGGCGCCAACAGCGCGACACCGAGGGGGCTGGCAGGCAGCAGCGGGGTAGCGCTTCCTCTGCCCAGCCCCGCACCTCGGCCCGGGCGGGTGGGTGGGCGAGGTGGGTGTGAGGGGGCCGCGGCGGGAGGTGTTTGAGGGGGGTACGGTCTCTAAAACAAGCCCCGCAAACCAGCGAGGGGATTAGGCCCTGAGCTAGGAGTGGAGGGCGGGGGACGGAACGTCGCCGGGGCCTCCGCAGCCCCGGGGCTCAGCGCGAGCGGCGCACGGGCTCCGAGTCGCCGGCAGCTTCAGAACTTCCAGGAGCGCGGGGCTGGGTGGTTGGGGAGACACTAAAGTAAGGGCCGTGGACCCCGGGCGTCCCCTCCCTCCCGGCCCGCTCCCCGCGCCCCTACCTGGGGCCGCCAGCACCGAGAGGCCGGCGAACAGCAGCAGCGGCAACGGGACCCGGCGCGAGGGCGCCGCGCGCTCCATGAGGCTGCGGCGGCGGCGGGCTGGCGGGCGGCGCAGCGGACAAAGGCGCGGGGCGCGGGGCCTTGGCTGGTGCGCGGCGCGGGGACAGCGCGTCTCCACGTTCCGGCCGAGCCTCCGCAGCCAAGGCTGGGCCCCGCGGCGCGGTTCAATTATCCCGCCCGGGAGGAGGGCGGGGGGAGGGCGCGGCGGAGGCGGAGCCGCGGGGCGCCGGGTCCCCAGCACCCCCCAGGCCGCCTCCCGGTCTGGGACAGTTGCGGCCACTCCCTTCCAGTCCCCGGCCCGGAGGGGCGCTCGAGCCCACAGCTAGGGGTGGGAACGAAGACCCCAAACTTCTCCCTGGTGGGGCCGGAGAAGGGGGGCGCATTCGCGGGACGCACCCCCACACCCCAGTGCCAGTGAAACCCGATCCCCTCGCCACCCGCCGGCTCCAGAGGCTGGCTGGGTATCAAAGGTTAGCTCCGCCCGACTCCGCCGGAATGGGCGAGCACCCCCTGAGGCGGCGGGGGATCCCCGAAGGTTGTAGGTGCCTTTGTGGGGGTAAGGGGTGGGAATAAGGGCGGCGTCCACTCCAGGGACTCGCCGCGCGGGACGTGGCCAGCGAGCAAAGACCCGCACACACTGCTTGCCCCTTCTCCTCCCTCGGCTGCCCTGGGAGCGCAGATCGCCCAGGGGGTCTGCAGGCCGGCGGCTGACCCCAGGTATCCCATGCCGGGACTGCCAGTCAAGAGAGGCAGGCCGACTCAACCAGCATCCGCACACCGGTGGGACATGATGCGCCCCCCACGCCGAAGCCCAGAGGAAAAGAGATTGGATTTGTCTGAGGGGAAACAGCCTCGGAGCTGGGCCTGCCCGGGCCCCTTTTTTGTGTAGGAATTTGTGGCTGCCACCAGCCAGTGGGTACTGAGTGGGCTGGAACCATAAATGGGGTTATCAGAAAAACCAACAGGAAACTAACGCAGGTGAAGATGCGGAGAGATGCGATGAGGCCCTTAAGAACTTCATGCGGTGGAATGTGCTGATCCCCTGACCCAGCAGGAAGCCACCACGTGGGCGCGTGCACAGAACGGCAGAAAGGCGTGTCCCAGAGTGTTCACCGCAGCATCCAGTCGGGAAATGCCCAACCTCACCGGCCCCAGACGGAAAACTCAGGGGTGTAGTCACCCCTTGGAGCTCTCTACAGCTCTGAACATACTTCATGCAGCGCCATACTTCATGCAGAGACAGGATGCTTCGCTCAAACACAGGGCAACACTAGAGCCAGACAAACGAACACTGATTCTGCCTCTGTGAAGGGCAAGTTACAAGTCAGGAGAGTAGGATCCTTGGTTGTGGGTCAGTGACTGGAGTGGGGGGGGGGGGCGGGGCGGAGGGTCCGGGGCAGCTGGTTAGGATCTGTTTTTCAAGGCTGAGTATTGGTTACAAGTTGGTTCCATTTATGGAAATGTATCAAGCTGTTCACTTATGACATGTGCCCTTTTCTGAATGAATGTTAGATTTAAAAATCAAAAACAAAAAGACAAACCACTCACCTCCCCACAGGATGCCTCCTATATCTGAGGTTTGCAGAGTCCTGGAAAGTTCACGAAGAGGGCCCCACTTGCTAGCTGCCTCCTAGGTGAAAAAGCCTTTTCAGAATAGGCTACCTGGGACTGGCCTCTGAACCAGGAGCAGAAGGGTGAGAAGGGTTTCCTGGGCAGACAGAATGCATCTGCGAAAAGCAGGAGGCACCAGAGACCCTGGGCAGCTTGGGACGATGACTGTGTTTATTTTGACTGGATGTGCCTGAGGCACATGTAAGGGGTGGGGTCCTGCAGGCAGTTGGATATGGGGTGCAGGGGGAGCTCTGAGCTAGAGACAAATTAGAGACTCATTAGTACTTTGGTATTAAGTAGATTTGCTAAGCCATGGGAGAATAAGGGTGCCCTGGAAAGACTAGGCAGTGGTTCTCAACCTGTGGGGCGCAACCCCTGTGGGGGGGTTGAAAGACCCTTCCACAAGGGTCGCCTAAGATCATCGGAAAGCCAAAAGATATTTACATTACGATTCATAACAGTAGCAAAATGACAGTTATAGAGTAGCAACGAAAATAATTTTATGGTTGGGGGTCACCACAACATGAAGAACTGTATTAAGGGGTCGCGGCATTAGGAGGGTTGAGACCCACTGGACTAGAGCATCAGAGAAGGCGTCATATGTGCCCAGACGTTATTTTCTTAATACATAGCTCTAGGAGTCTTCAGTTACCCACTTTCTACAGATGAGGAAACCAGGGCTCAGAGAGGTGAGGTCATTGGTCAAATTCTCATAACTGGTGATTTGAATCCAGGACAGGGAACTGCCAATCCCAGGCTCATCCGAAAGCCCATAAACCTTTCCCCATCTTATTAGAAATCTGTATTACACGTCTAGTGAATGACTAGGAAAGTCATATACACGTGTTGTTAACCACTCTCCTCTCATCAGACATCGAGGTGGTTGGCATTTGGGGCCTTGGGAATCGTGCTGCCGCGACAACTGTGTGCTCTGGGCTCAGCTCCTAGCGTGGGTGCTCCAGGGGACCAATGGTTGCACCCCAAAATCAAGTACCTCACATCCCTGGGAGAGCATGCGCGGAGAGCCCTGGGTCTCTCCTCCTCCTCCTCTCCAGCTTTGGGCAACATCTTTGTTTAATCTGGGTTATTTCCACAGGCAAAAGAAGTGGTGTCTTGTTGTGCCAATGTGTGTCTTTAATCATCACAGAGGTTGAACATTTTCCATGTGCTTACTAGCCGTTTGCATTTCTTGTTCGGTGACTCCTTTCATAACCTTTACTCACTTCTTTTTGTAATAGCAGAATCGTTTATTACAGTGAAAATCTGAGAAAAAAATGCCATGTCCAAACATGACCTATTATGGTAAGTATGATTGGATTCAACTAGAGTCAGTGAGATATTGTGCAGTTGCTGAAAAGGTAAAAGAGGAGGCCTAAGTAAAAGAAATGTGATCTTTGTGAACTAATATCGTAAAAAAAAAAAAAAGAAAAAGAAAACAAAATGCGTGTGATGTATAGGTCCACGTGGCAACCACGACTGTAAAAGCTGCTTTCGTGTAGCTAAACATCAAAAGGAAACTACATGGAAGTGGATGTTGTGTTTGGTGAAAAATTTATTTATTTTATTTTAATTTTAATTATTTTTAATTAAATAAAAAATAAATTTTAATTTATTATTATTATTATTTTTTAAGGAAACAGTTGAGACAGGGAGGAATAATCATACCAGAAACTTGGAGTGATATAATGCCTACACCTAAACTTGACCCTGAGTTTCTTGGCAACCAAAGTAAAAATCGAATTACAATCACTTACACGGTTCCTGTTTTGTGACCACTTAATCAGGAAAGACAAGATTCTTTCTGGCACGGAGTTCTAAGCATTTCCCTCTGGGTCTTTATGTGAAAGTCAAGAAACGGTAAGTGGCACATTTGCTCAAAGTTCGCGGAAGATGGGACTGGTGTTCAGAGAGGTTCCATTTGGGGGATTAGGGCCTGGGGGAGGCCCCCACCCTCTGGGACCAGGGCAAGATTTAACTCCAAGCAGGAAGTCGTTCATTATGTCCTGCTGTGACAGCCCAGCTTTCTCCCATCTCAGAGAAACCGAACAACTGGTTGCTTTCCCCCAATAACAAATAGCTCTCTGTTTGTTTGAAAGATCATTGTTGGCGCCCGCCTGTGAACTGTTTTTCTCCAAGTCAGAAAACAAATGGCTTTGATGCTGCCCAGCCTTTGGAGGACAAGCCTCCTGTGGTTCTTCATGTGATGCTGCAATGCACCCTGGGTGGTTTTCTGAGGGCGGCAGCTGCCCTGGCTCGTGCCCACCCCTCCAGATGCATCCTGGCCCCACACCCCTCACTCACTGGCAGCAGCCCCGGGGCCTTTGCACAGCTCCTGGAATACCCAAGCGTCCTCCTCGCCCTTCCCACTGCTTTGCTCAGCCAGCTCCTTTATGACATTTATCCCTTTCCATATACCTGTATTTCTTTGTTAAAGTGTTGGTTTTCTCTCTGCCCACTAGCCAATGACTCCCTGAGGGCAAGGACTGTGTCTGCGCATCTTTGGTATGCAATAAATCCTTGTTGGATGCTGGAATGGAGAAAGCCCCATTCGTGGCAGCTGGCAACACAGCGTGATGAGAAGAGCACAGCCTGGGGTCAGAGTCACTCAGCATCACAACCACCACTGAGGTGGGCATTCCGCTTCCATGCCACAGCTGAGGAGACTGCGGCTTAGGATGGTGGCAGAGCTGGGCCCACAAACCCAGGGAATCCCTGGGGCTCCCCGGGCACTGTCTTCTGCCAGCTCAGGAGCTGGCCCCGTGCTGAAAACCAACCACCTCCACTCCTGGCCCACTCACCGCACCCTCTGGGTCACTTCTCCACTCCTACACTAAGTCTTTTCCTCACTAGGAAGGCCCTAGGGGCATTCATGTGACTAGGGTGACAAATGCAAAAAGAATTCTGCCCCTGAAAGTGGGCTATTGAAAATTAAGAGATTCCAAATTATGCCACATACACAAACTATGGAGAACCGCCAGGCCCTCCCAACCCTCCAGCAGACTCTCTCTCCTCAGACTCCCACCCTCTTGAACCTGTGCCTCCCACACAGCTCAGCATCAAACCAAAGCTTCCCCGAATGCCACGTTCATTCTCACTGGAAGTGGGGCTGCAGTGACCTGTGCTGGGCACCTTGGACACTCTCCTTGCCTTCATGAGGCTCCTCCACATCTAGTGGCAACCCCATGTCATCAGGGCAGGTAGTGACTGGGCAAGTCTCTGACTGGAGGCCTGCCTTATTATTCTGTCTCCCCCATGACACCTAAGGATGTTAATTTCGGTGTGTCCAGCATCTTAGCGTGCCGCAGGCCTTCCTCTCACTCCACGTACACAGCAAGCAGTGAGGCAGGCGTGACCTCCTCTCTATAGGACCCATTTCACAGCAAGGGACTCGAGGACCTGCCAGCCTCACGTGGACCAGCGACAGGGCCAGGACACAACCCCAGCATGTCTGGGTTTGAGCCCACGTGTTTCTCATCCTCCCCACCCCTCCCGCCCACAGTGCCTACCCGCATAGTGCCAGCTGGTTGGTCAGTGTTAGGGGCGGAATTGTGTCCCCCAAGAATCCATACG